CCTAAGCGTCAGATCTGTTGGTCTGAACTCAGTCTCTGATATCGATGTCTTTGAACCCAATGTCTGATCCAAAGTATTCCCTGTTTTGTAGTTTTCCTCTGAATTAGTGTCTGTTTGAGACATTGTTTTATATCTTCTGTTGTGGACAGGAATGGCTGTCATTGGAGTCGAAGCACTGGTTGTTGAAGAAATGTTTTGCTTTCCTCGACGTCTCTTGAAAATCATGAATACATTTGTTGCGCAGATAATGACTCCTATTATCAACAAAACCACGAAAGCAATGACCAGTTCTTGTAATTCCTTAGCCGATAAAGGATTGGTAGGAGAGATGCCTTCAGTGGATGGAGTGATCGGATCAATGGGTTTGTCTGTATTTTCAATTTGTTTGAAGCAATGCTTTTCATACGGAATCATATTTTTGGAGGAATTGCACTAAAAATATTTGATATCTTTTTATATACTTTTAAATATAATTATTGTTAAATACTTGTTGTGAGAGATCTTTGCCTTCGGGTGCGAAGCAATAGAAAGGCTGTCCTCTGATGTTAAACCACAACAGAAACCCCTTCTCTTCGTTCTCGTCGGTGTCAACGATACCCTCCAACTGATGGAGCAATGGTTCAGGTATTTGATCGACAAAAACAGGTCTCTGTGGAGACTCCGGAAGAGAACTTTCTTTATTCAATACAACCCAACCTTCAGTGCCATCCCATGTTATCGCCAACACTTGTGTCGATCGGTTAGTTGTGTTCAAAAGCATGACATGACTGTGAACTGAATTCACATCTCTTATGCGGACAACTTTAGGACTGAATATAATGCTCTTTGGGTTATAATATTGATGACCATAAAAATTATTGCCATTCCACTGCTCACGACACTTAGTTTCAATGGAAGTGTTTTGTGAATCCTGTCATACATTGAATGTAATGAATATAAGATTTCATATATTGATACACAATATGCTTACCGTATAAAAGACTTCACAGTTATAAACATTACAAAGATCTGTAATGTAATGAGGAATTCTGTGTATAATAAGACCTGAAAACTGATTGACTGTATTGTTCTTTATTGGTTTGACAGTCGACTTAACCATTGATACGATTTGTGTATCGTTTGCATCCCTTCTCACTCTGAACTCCCACTGCTTTCCCATTGAATACATGACATGTCTTGCAAAGTAATCTACGCTATAGTATTCTCGTCGTCCATTCCAATACCACTTTCTGTAGATTTGAACGCCATTATAGTTACCATTGGTTTGCATGTATTCACACATCGATTGGCATTCAATGGCAGAAATGCACAAAATAATGCATAAAATTGTGAACATTTCTGTAAATCTCAACTCGAAATTAATGTTTGAAATGTCTTGAATTGAATTAATGGTTAGTTTTTTAGATCAAATTCTTAAGTAAATTCTTTTTACAAAATTATCTCAAAAATCCGTTCAATAAATTCAAATGCATTTAAAACTATAAAGCATTCATTCCTCGAATGTATCTCTCGATCATAATAATAGAAATTTATTAATGAGTTTAGGGTTTCTTGAGTAACAAATTGGGTTTCAGTTTCTTGGGTTTAATTGTTGTTTAAGTTCAGGAATAACATTAAAAGTTAGAAAGAAATTCACATTAAAACCATTGAGTTTTCGGTTTAGAAAATATAATTTTAACTTATATAATAAGTTGTACATAAACACAATATTCGTGTCTTTCTGGTAAAAACTTGCGAACATTATTGCCATTAATAATAACTAATAATACGTTATAATTAATATCAGTAATTTATTGAAATTAATATTATAGTTTATTAATTTGTGAAAGTAATCAATTCTTATATACATAAAAAGTTTATTTTATAAAACAATTATTTTATTCAAATTTAAACACTATCTAAAGTATCATAAACCCAATTAAAAATTGTCTCAAATATTGAGTTATAATTAATAATTGATTCTTTGGTTACATCATCAGACAAGTGACCCTTTCCTGTGATATCAGACATTATAGTCTGTCCGATATGGGGAGCGGTGGCCGGACTGTCATGTAGTGCATCATCGGAAAGGTCTATATTATTGTCAGTCCATCGATAGAGCCGAACATAATCTATGATAAGTGATGAAGATTTCCACTTCAGGTAATCATTTGCCGCAAACTTTTCGCCATAATATGCGCCAACTTTGACATTAAAAATCATTAGCACCTGGCTACTTTGCTGACCAGGACTAATTCTATGGTTATATTGAACAACATACGAGTACTTATTATCGAAACTCCATTCATAATGAGTTTCATTCCACTCGACAGCGTACGTATGAAATTGAGCAAGGTCCTCATTGACCACTTGCCTCATAGTATTTCGTATGTTTATATCATGATTAAACTCGGATTCGTGTTGGAAGTTGTCTATCAAAAATATGGAATTACTAAAATAAACTAAAGGGTATAGTAGTTGACCCTGTGGCAATGCCGCCCTTATCTCCAACCGGTTGTTATTCCAGTCAATGTTCAGTAATAGCTGTGCCGTTGAGAACAGGGGCTTATCAGGGGACAGTCCGTATAGGGTGTGATTCTCGGGTTTAACAGTTAGGGCAACGGCTCCGTTGAGAAGTTGGATATTATTTGGCGAACGAATGCATGCCATCGATAGCTCACTGTAACCTGTTTTGGGATACAAATAATTATGCAATAATGCTGTATAATAGGTATAACACTGATTCATATAATATAAGTTTTTAGGAAATGATTAGAAAAAAGATTCTCTCTCTCTCTCTCTCTCTCACACACACACACACACACACGCCACTCATAAAAATAAAATTCTGTTTAAAATTAATGATAATTTAATAGACTTACTGTCGCACTCGGATTTGGTGGCAAATGACCATTTTGAATAATCAAGGTGCTCCTCTATAAATTCATCGCTCCATACAAGTTTTAGTGACTTATTTAATTTTAATGCCATTAAAGTATCCAGCATTAAAAATAGAAAACAAAATATAACCGAAATCTTATTCATTTTGTAGCCTTTTGTTTGCTAGAGTTTTGATGATTGCCAGGAATTTAATGAATAATTAAATGGTTATTATAGCAACAGTATGATAGATGATTTGCACACAACACCGAGTTTTATATTAACTAACTTTAAAATATTTTTATTAAACCTAATAATAATCACTTTTAAATGAAAATGTCTGTTTTTATCCTTTTATAGTCACTAAAATTGATTAAAAATCAGCTCATAGTGTGGTTTATTTTGGTATAAAAATAGAAATAATTACATTTACAATAATATTTACTCACTTTTGAAAGTTTTAATCAAGAATTTAGATCTTGGTATAGCAGTACAAAAATTCTATTTGAAATAATTAATAATTGAAAAAGCTCTTTTAATATGAGAAAGTAATGTAAAGTTATCATAAATCTGGTATAATCAATTCACTGTTAGTTAATTAAGTTGTTTATGTTATTTTATATCATATCAAGGGATAGCAAAAATTCATTCATAACAAAAATTTTATATTGACAGCAAAAATCTTATTTTGAAAACAAGATTTACATCAATAATAATTATAAATTATCATATAAACAACTACAGTTATCATCAATAAAATTTTAACCAAAATTAATTATAGCTTATTTGACTTCTTAGGACATAGAAAAAATATTGTAGAAATATTGTACCATAAAAGAAATATATAAAAATATTTATATTACAGCTTAGTATATAAAACATTTTTAAAATAATAATTGTCAAGGAATTTATTTAATTGTAACTCTCACTCGTGTATCAGTAAACTATATGAATATTTGTAAAAACTAACCACCTTGATATTAAATATAAACTTATATTTAAAAAAAAGATTCTTAGATAATTGGCTTAGCTAGTTGTACCAGTATTATCTAACTTATCTGTATTAAACTCATAACTATACATGTTTTGTACGAATTATTAAATTCTAAGACTAATCCAGGTTCTACATGAATATTTTAATTTCTAATTTATTTACTGATTGTAAATATAGAAAATAATAGTTTTTAAAAAATAAAGTTTATTAGTTTACAAAATTTTAATTTATAGGAAATACACCATAAATGGTGATTAAAAAATACAATATTTTGTTGTTTTAAAAATAATTAAAATTGTTAATAATCTATCAAATTATATAAAATCAATCTAATTATGACATAGTATTAGCCAACAAGTGTGTCCTCCATTGAGTTTTTAGTGCGCCGAGGTTTTCTGGTCCTATTACCCCGATCACTCAGCCATTTTATTAACCACATAGCTCTCTCTAATTTGTTATCCAAATCACCATGATGCACACAATCGCCACAATAAAACATATAAAATATCATCAACCAGATGCATAATAGTAATAAACTTTTGAATTTGAGCATGATGATTAATTTTAAGACAATTTTTTATTTATAATTAAATTACAACTTAATAATTTTGAAGCATGAAATGATAACATTAATAAAATAATAGTACATTTTTGTATAGTATTTCCTTTTTATATTTTTATAAGGTATAATTTAGATTACCTTTTTAGGCAAAATTTTAAAAATCTATATTTGGGAATAGATTCCGGATGATTTGTTTTAGAAAGTATTTATTTTATAAATTCAGAATGCTTGAGTTATATAACAATTTTATTTAAAATCAGTAAATTTAGTTAGTTTATACAGTATTTGATAATTTTATTTTTATCAAAATTTGAATTATTAATAATTTTTTATTAATATAAGTTATTAATTTTGTTTTGATTGACAATAAGTTAAAAATTTAATAAAATGTGTATTAGTAAATTAATTATAATAATATTATCATTATTCATTCAAAAAATTTACACTGATTATAAGACTCACGTTGCGATCATAGACAGCAAGGACCTCCAGGAACTACCCATTTATACAAACCTAAAATACTCGATTAAAAATGCAAACTCCAACCGATTCTTACTATGGAAACGAAAGTACCAAGATCATGGCACTACTGACGCTACACTCGATTTTTGGGACATGGATTTCTGGCACACTTTTATCCCAACTGGTAATGGTTGGTATACCATGCTTCACCATGATAACACTACTCATCAGGTCAAAATTAGCAAGTCTCCCGATCAGGGCTATTATTATATTTATAATACTGGATGCAGTGAGTATTTTGAATTGACAATTAGTTTATTATATAATTATTTATGCTCATATTATCCCGGTCATAATTTACTATTACTAGGGGATGGCAACTATCCTAACGCTGAAAACCCTGATGACAGAAAGATCTATTGCGATGAACCAGGTAATAGCACACCGGAACGAGTCAAATACAACTGGGAATTTACTGATATATTAACCGAAGTGGGCAAATACTATAATATTAGCTCGACCATGACCAATTTTAAATATGAAAAACCTTCTAAGGAACAATTAGACAAGCATCTTAAATTGAACATGGTGGGCAACTTAACTTTTCCCAACTGTAGTCCGGAGAATTTAACCAGAGAGGCGACGTTCGAGAAGACCCTGACACAAACTTATAGCATATCTATGAAAGAAGCTTATATGTGGGCTAGTAGATTTTTTAATAAGTTTACCATAACAGCGGGTATCAGTGCAAACCAGCTTGGTATAGTAGATGTCCCTATGTCAAATACAGCTGAAGTGAGCTGGGAGGTGGACAAGAAGGTACGGGAGACACAACTNAACTGTCCACCACTAAGGAGTATAAGATAACCAAAGAGATAGTGAGTGTACCGCCGGATATGTGCATTAAAGCCTTGTCTTATGTGAAATGGATTGACAACTTGGAGTTGCCCTATCAAGCAGTTATTCAGGTGAATATGATATTTTATGGTGTATTATAAAAACCTCAGTTTCAGGTAGCAAATTGAGTAAAAAATTCTAAGCAGGTAAACCCTAGAACAAATGATTAATATATAATTTGCTAAAATTTAATCCTTTATTGCCCCTTTACTATTGAACTAATGAATGGTCAATGAATGAAATATTAACCCATAATTAATATTATTTATGAATAAAAGTTTTAAAATTGCTAGGTGAGATTTTTCTGTCTAATTGATATAATGTTATTGCTAAAATAAAACCATTATTTTTACTATGATTACGTTTATTAATAAATTTTAATTTATATTAGATTGACATAACAACTAAATCTGGTGTTGAAGTAGACATGAAAATGAGTAAAAAGTTGGCTAGGTTGTTTTTTGATCAAGAACTATTGGAAAACAAAAAGCAAATTAGATTCAAAACTACTGGTTTAATTAAGGGATCGTTTGCCCTGGACAAATATATGCAACTTGATAAAGTTGATAATAAATGTAAATGTGAGAATACATGAAAACAATTGTAATTTTTAAAAGTAATGGATTATAAGAAATAATTAATTAATAAAAACTAATTTTATGATATTTATATTGATTGTATATTATGTAATGACATGTTTTGACACATTTGTACTGCTTATGAGAGATAGGAAGTCCATTGTTAGAGAAAATAACTTTGGAAATAATAGGATATTTTTGACTACAAAGTTATATGCTATTATAATTTAGTATAGATTCAAAAATAACTAGTTTATTACACAGAATACTATATAAAATATATTCATAAGGATGTACGGATATGCCCATTTTAGAAAATTATTTTATGTTTATAAAAACTATAAATAGGAATAATAAAAGTACAAGTACTAACAATAACACAATTAAAATAATTATTCTCAAAATTTATTTACAAATGCAAATTACTTATATCAGAGATATAGGTATAAATAAAAATTAATTAAAATGAACATTAATAAATTAGTTGCAATATTTTTTGTAACTATACTATCCACCCACGACCTGAGCAGTGGTAGTGTGACCCACTTTCCCATCATTGACCGCAATGATAGACAGGAATTACTCATTTATACAAACCTGAAATATTCGGTCAAAAATCAAAATTCCAACCGATTCCTAATATGGGACCTTGCTACTGTTAAATCTGGACACCACACTATTAATGATAGACTTAATTTATGGAATACGATATTTTGGCACACTTTTGTACCCACTGATGACGGATGGTACACAATGTTTCACCATGATAACTCCGTGCATAAAGTTCAAATCAGCAAGTCACCTGACCAGGGCTCTTTTTATATTTATTACCAAAATTGTTGTGAGTATTTTATGTTGTCTATTAGTAATTAGCAAAATATTATATTCCTATTTTGGATACCACTGACATTTTACTTTTGTGAAAAATATAATTAAATATATTTAGATATCCATTCCCTGGATGGTGGCAAATACCTTATTTCAGAAAATCCTGACACTCGATTTGTCTTCTGCAATGAGCCTGATAAGGATCAAAAGGATAACGTGAAATACTACAACTGGATATTCACCGCCATATTGACCGAGGTGGGCCATTATTACAACGTAGACGTGACCATGACCAATTTCAAATATAAGAAACCATTGCAAGAATTACTAGATCAGCACCGTAAACTAGACCTGGTTGCAACATTAACGGTGCCCAACTGTAGTCCGGCTACTGCTAGCCGAGAAATCACCCTCGAAAAGACCCTGACACAATCATATAGTATAACTATGGAGGAGTCGCATACGTTTGCGAGTAGGTTCTGCGGACGGTTTAGCGTAACAGCGGGTGTCAGCGGCGATCTCATGGGTATAGTAGAGGCCTCGGTGTCCACTACGGCTGAAC